TGTAAATTTTAAGTTTACTGTTATTTGCACATTTTCATAGTCTGCATGTGGATTCCGAATAGACAGAACCATTCTCTCTACATTTTTTGCATATTGTCTTTTTTGTGCACCGTTTTTGTGGTGCCCTAACTTTTGGCAGTTGTACCATTGGAGTGGATTTGGAATACCTGTGTCAACCTTCATTATCATGTATCAATTTTAAGTTTAGGTGGAGGTTTTAAGGTTACTGAAAGTGAGAATGTAAATGTTGGTGTCGATTAACTGCTTGTTTTTTTTTTCTTATTATTATTCTCTTTACATCCAACACTTGATTTTTAAGTTGATTTTTATTTCTAAACTTGTACAGGCAAATATTTCAGGACTTCTCACTACTATTCTAGATGTGTTGAGGCGTCTATGTGGATATGTGTGTTGGTAAAGAAAAGAAAAAGCAAAAGAAAAACAAATAATGAGTGTCAACTTCCAGTAGGAATAAGTCTGCAACAGATTTGTTTCTTAACCGCAACACTTGTAGCCAAAATCCAGTTCAACGACTGTCTGACATAACAATCCAACAGGCCACATAGAGATGGCAAAATTGGGTCACATACCCAACCTTCGCTTCTCGCCAACAAGAACGCCTCTGTCTCTACCAGAAGACAGCTTGCTTTATATTGCTGAGGATCGACCATGATTTACATACGAATCACGAGCCAAAGAGATTTTGCGTTAGTCGTCAGAGACCACCTATCATAAAACATGGATGCCGCCATTTTGATTCTTTTTTAGCCGGACTTCACATGACGCACAGATTCATGGATGTTTCCAAGGTAGGCCATTCTTTTCTTTGTTTGTTTGTCCAGTATTTCATTTTGCCAGGGACTGTTGCTACATTTGCGTAAGCGTCCACTATTCTGCTTACATATTACGCATACCACTCATTGCCTCTTAGAACAGCAAACTGTAGTCAGTTCAGCAGAACCCACACACTGCTGCCTTTCAGTTCTGCTAGAATATGCCTTGATTTTCCTATTGTGGAGGGTGGTCATTTTTAATAATAATTCAGCATATTTCTTTTCGGTTACAACTAGAGTGTCATTTCAGGTTGTTTTTATGGATTTAGGTACCACATTTGCTGAGAAATATAATCTCTATTGCAAAAGGGGAAGAGCTTTGTAATGGGTTTTTACTCTGTTGACTCAAGGACTATGAAGCTAGGAAAAGTAGTATTCACTTCTTCTATGTTGCTGTCTGTGAATGGGGTTTCTTGGTTAATTTTTGTGGGGCCATTTTATATGTTCGTTAACTATGGAATTCAACAAGGGGAAGTGACCAAAGAGCAAAACCCATTCTCCTTGGTCCAATAGGGTTACACAGTCTACTCACATCTAGAGAGAACTTTGGGTGTCTGTAAGTTGTGAGTTTCTATATCCATGTATGTAGTCACTCAGAGGACTGCCAATTTTCATTAAAGTCCTTTGCCTCTTGACAAGATTGACCCTACAGCCACTGCCTTTGAGGTCAGATATCAGATGACATTAAGCGCAGCTTATCACTTGGATTAGGGAAAGAAGGTGCTATTATGAGAAGTATTTGATCTTAAATGACTTGACATTAGGCCTCTCCAATCACCTGTCTAGCTCAAGTAAGGACCAAAGTGGTGTGGTGGTGTTTAGGAGTATATATGTAGCCCAACTCCTAAAACTCTCAACCACCAGGGTCCAGTCATCAGGTATCACAGGTCTCTACCCATGGCAAACAGGTGGCTCCTTTGGGGGACTTTTACACCCTGAAAAGGTACAGTTGGCATATTCTGAAGCCTTGCCAACAGAGTGTGAATGATAAACAAAAGAGAATACTAAATTTAGCAATGAAAGATAGAAGCACATGTAAAAACAGTCTGGAGACTGAAGAGAGAGTTCCCTTTCCAGTAGGAAATGTTCATGAACACAGACAGCAAGTCAATGCATGTAGACATGAGTCCTTCCAAAAGAGAGGAAGATAGTCAGAAACAGAGAATTCTGTGGAAGAGATTGATGAATTCAGATTTGTTTTACAAAAAGCTAGGATGTCTGGTGAATGTTTCAAAAGAAATGATTCTAAACTGCAGAAATTGGTATGAATACCATGAATATTATAGAAAGAAAACTTGAAAGGTTTCGGTGTTTTTGGCCAGTTTTTTGTAGTTTCATTTGGTTTATTACTTTTTGTTCACAGTGTTTTTTAAAAGGTAGAAAAGGCCAAGAATTATAGTAGCTTCTGATTGTGAAAGGCAACATGAGCTGGCTGGTAATTGGTACAGACTGCAGCATAGTGTGACCTTGGGGTTGTCCACCAGAAGTGCTTGCAGGGACACCTATCCATGACATGGCACTGCAAGAACACTGATATTATGTGACTGTTGATTAGAGCAGCCTTTCTAAGAACTACCCAAGAGTTTGGGCTCTTAACTATCAGTGGGAATGCAGCAGTAGTCAGTGTATTTTAGCCCTGCTGACAGACAAGTCATATTAGCCAGAGGCCCAAATGAACAAGAAATTGAAATAAGATTAAAAAAAAAGCCATTTATTTGGGTAGTAACCCTGAAATGGAGTTAAGTCTATTGGAGTCAGTGACTTAGAATCTACAAAGAGTAGTATTCATCAGGCTACCAGTAGCCAAGCCAGATGAGGTAAAAAAAAAAAAAAAAAAAAAGAAAAAAGAATTTAAAGAGCATGAACATGACACATCTGGGGCCTCAGTTTGACTTTATCAGCCATCTTGTATTTTAAACAATGGGGTCTCCAAAAAATTAAAAGCAAGAGATTTACCTTCTGATTTAGTTATACATTTTACAAAGATACATGTATTTTTTCATTTGATAATCTTTTTTTCTTTTCAGCTGCAATCTGTGTGGCAAATATGGCATGGAGTATTTGATCTGGAAAATCCAGCAATGTGGGGAACCTAACAATTACCACGCAACAAACTATAATCATATATAAATACACAAGGTCATCCAGAAATCATATAATGATTTTAAAATGTGTTATCTTTTTTTAAATTTCTCTGAATATGTAAAACAGACATTTTAATTTCAAGAGGTATCATTTAAAATGGAATATCTATTACAAAGAATAGCCACTTTGTAGGACCAATTGAACAAAACAGAAGTAAGCATAATTTTTGGCATGAGGAGTTATCATTATTTACTCTATTGTATTCTTTATTTACTATTGTCCTCATCTTTGTTGTTATTATCACAACATTCCAGTTGTTGTGCCCTCTGGCTTTCCTCAGGTGTATATTGATTTGGCTAACCTTCAGGGAACTCTAAACTGAACCCTTTATTTAATCTACAGGTTAGACTGTTCTTGTTCCACAGCTTATATTTAGGGATATCATCAAGTTCTCATTTTTATTTAGTAATGTTCAGTTATTGCTCGCTTGTTTCCACAGAGGGCAAATAAGCATAAATTTGTCCTTTTTGTGCATAGCCCAATTGAAGTAGCTTAGATTTTACATAGCAGTAGAAAATCATTTACATTGGGGATAATTTAAATATTTAATGGCTTACTTGTCTATTATTTTCAGGTGTAGGGATGCAGAAGACGATTAGCTCACTTTGGCTGAAATCACATGATAGTGAGTGATGTCAATTTATAGGGTGATGAAAATCCTAGTTAAGCAGGTGAAAAACTAGGATTATAAATATAGATTTTTGAAAGCAACACAATTTTTCTATTCACTTTTTAAAAAAATAATGAAGAAATGTCAATATACTTTAATTTTGATTATAGATGTTATAGACACAATGTTTTGGACAAGTACCTGGCTATCTTCAGGTGTCCATTGTTTGACTGATATGAAATATCTATTAATCATTGTGTTATTTGGTCCCTGTAAGGTCAGCTCTTGTTGAACCAGTGTATATGGTTTTGCTACCTGATCCAGGGATTGAACTTATGTCCACTAGATGACAACAATGCATTTAATCAATGTTTACATCCACTATGCCATCAGAATACCGGTGGTGTATTTTTATAACCTTTAAATCCAATGTCAGATGGTTCTGACATTTGGTTATCAAAGCAGGTTTGTATCAATTATTTGATAATTTTATGGCCAGTTATAGATTATATTGTATCTATAAAAAAATCTTATGAATTTAAATATAGAACCACCAACCTACCAACCAAGCTTCATATTTTAATATTACAAGGTCAGCTAAGTGCATGTAAGTACTGATAGTCTTCAGTATCTAGATGAACTTTATATCTAAGACTTGGGAGATATTTTTTGAGGGAGAGAAAGAATGGATCCTCAATGTGGTTACTGCTCGTGTAACTGATTCTTTTCGGAGTCTGAGTTTTAAAATTATTGAAAGCTGTAAAAATTATTAACTTTAAATACTGATTTCCAGAGGTCTACTTTATATGTTAAAAAAAAAAAAAAAGGACTGGAGTGCTGTGGGTATTTAAAGTAAAAGTAGATTGATGTGTTGGAAATCTACTGACAAACTAGACTCATTGTTTTTTTATGGTTTATCAGCCCTTTGCAGGTTATTTAAAGCCAGAAAATATTTTTAGATTGTAAGAATTCTTTTGAGATAATGATTTACTGATACAAGTCCTACTAATTAATTTATAGCTATGGAAAAAAGAGGTAGATTCATACATTTCCCAAGGGTATTTGTGTGAATAACAAACCCAACTGGAATTAGAATTGATCTCCAATTCCAAACAGTCATCCATTACACCACTTGCACATCCAAGCTTACAGCACCTAGTATACTTAAGTGATCATCCATCTAAGTACTGAACAGTGAACATATAAGAACTGGTGTTTTCAAAGTAATAAGGCCGTAAGCCCCTGACAAACTGGAGGATTAAAAGTAAGCTGGCATATTGATGGACTGACCTACATAAAATGGATGACAGAAAACTCTTAAGAAAAAAAAAAAAAAAAAAAAAACTTATGGCAAATTAAATCTCCATACATGAACAGAATATTTTGATACAATAAAAACAAAAGGGACTCACTTTTGATTTGAAAGCAAGTTGATGGCTATTGCAGATCCAATGACTTCCTGAATATCACTGCCAATGATAGCCAATTCCATCATGAACCAAAGCAGAAGACGTGGAACTTTGGGATATTCCTTATAGCACATCTGGGCGAGGTTCAGTCCTGTGAAAAACGAAGATGTTTACTTTAGTATTTGCTATAAAATCAACTCAAAACTATACTTGAACCTCCAGAAGTTCATTCAAATTTCCTTGACCATTCATGAAACAAAGATGAAAAAATTAAAAATGATCAGAGACTTTCAGCTGATCTCTCCTCTGACCTAGCTTAATGAGGAAAATTTGACTTGTAACAAGTAAAATTTCTGGGATGAGGAGTTATCATTATTTAAACTATTTATGTGCAGACTCTTGTCCTCATCATTGTTGCTATTACAATATTTCAGCTGTTGTGCCCTCTAGCTTTCATCAGATGTATATCAATCCAGGTAATCTACAGGAAATTTCAAACTGAACCCTTTATTTAATCTATGAAGGTAGATTGTTCTTGTTCTACTGCCGATGTCTAGTGATATCTTGTCTTGTTCTAATTTGTAATACTGCTCAGTTATTGCATGACCTGTTTCTACAGGTCTTCCGAACGAACACTTTACGACAACAAACGAGCAAAACGGCACCCAAGACTGCTGCCGACGAACGACTGATCGCAATGGCTTTTGTCGCCCAAGAAAAGACACCAAATGACTTGCGTGTCTTCTTGTAGTCCTCGGTCGAGTCCATTATGGTACTCCAAGGTGTGCCCGGCGACAACACACACATGCAGTTCGAGGATGGTTCTGCACATGCTCGCTACAAACTATTACTACTTTTATGTACGATGTCTCTTCAAGACATAGATAATCATGACTTTCCTCAACATCCTGTCTTGTTTCTCTGAGTAACTTTTGACACTTTACCATTCCTCTATATTGTCACGTAGCCATGATTTCATTAACCATATAGGCGTTAGGCTAAAGTAAAATCTTAAATAAAGAGAAAATTAGTTAGATATAAAAGAAAAATAAATAAATAAATAAAAGCAGAAATTTAATCCCATACTTCCGACTTCATGACTTAATATATTCTATGATCAGCCATATCCTTCCTTTTCTCTTTACAAAGTCTTTCTCTCCTTATCTTCTCTTCCACCCATGAGCCAAGGGCCCGTGAACTTTGAAGTGACCCAATGCGAGAATGACCTGGTTCCAAGATTTCGCGTTTGACCATGAGTGAATTCAAGGCACCATCAGGGTCTCCTGCTGCGATTCACGTGATCGGGCGAGACTGAGCACGTGTTGAACTTTGGCCATCACACAAGCACTGCGTGATTTTGCCCCTATCCCCTGCGCACCGGTCAAGGGGACGAAGGGAACCCACGTGACTGTTTTGGGGACAGCGAAAACCAAAAAGGATTTTTCAGTTTTCCTCTGACCAGCGGCAGTTGAACGTCGCTGGGCAAAAAAATCCGACCGCCAGAGATGAGGAAGACAGCAAAAGTCTGTCGACTGGGGAGTGAAAGGGCTGCTATGGACTGATCAGCACAACCAAACGCCTGTATGAAATGCTGTGGGCCCACGAACACTTGTGGAAAGAAAAGAAATTCAGGAGAATTGCCTGTCGGCCGCCAAAAAATGTTTTTTAGCATCAGAACTCTCGCTTTGGCGAATCAGAACTTTGTGTGAACTCGACTGAAAGATAAGTTGATTTTCTTGGTTCGATCTGTTTTCATATATGTATGTATAGCTCGCGCCTCCTATTCTTGAATGATCTCCTACCCTTTGTTAAATGAATGTTTTTTTTCTTTCTTTATTTCGTTATATATATTTATAAATAAATGTTTTATTTTGAAATCCATCGTCTTGTGTCTGTTTTTCGTTGATTTCCTTGTGTCGCTTCCATTTCTGAGTGAAGACTGAGAAAAAGAAACCACGTTTTCCTTTTATTTTAGAACCCGTGGTTCATCTATATGCTACAAGTTCGTAACAATATATATATATATATATATATATATATATATATATATATATATATGAAGAAATTTTGAAAAAAACAAACAAAAATCCTTAAATGTAGTTAAATGAAAGAAACGGATCGTCTGACGTTTTCGGGTTTATTAAACCTTTTTCAAGACAATATTCATCAAAATACAATTCAGTTAAATATGACAAATACGATGGACATAAAAACACAAGTCTTATTCCGAACAGATAACTGAAAATTTTAAAATGATCAGCCTTCCCCTAACATGGTCACGCTTGTCGTCACATGGGGCACGCTTTCATAACGTATTCCTGAAAGTTTGTGATTATTTTGAAATGAAAAAGAAAAAGAAAATGAAAAGAATTCTATTGGGTTCTAAAATTCCAAATCACTTGCATTTCAAGCATCAATCAGGACCAATAAAAGGGGAAATATTTAGCGGAGATTGATGAAGCATGGTAGACTTATAAACATAAGAATCATTAGTGAGAAAAATTGTAGCATCACATAGTGAAACAAATTTCTTAGCAGCAAATCTAGCAATTGTTTCAATCTTACAATTTCATATCAGCAGAAATGTTTATTTTTTTTATTTTAAGTTTTGGGATGATAATTTTTGTGTTGAAATAAACAAAAAAATTAAGATTTAAACAAATATGCATCACTTGCAGTTTTTAATTTAAAATTTTTTTATTTCATTCATAAATTGACATTTACTGAGAAATGTAAGTTTAAGTGTCATCTGAGGCATATAGGAATAGTAGGTTAACTAAATACAAAATAAAAAAGCAATAACAGGTAAACCTCAAAATATGCATAAAATATTTACTTACCTGTGACACTTCCTAATCGAGCAGCAAGCAATTGGAGTAGAAGCCCCATCACTGTGGACCAAAACAGTACCCATAATATCTAAAGTGAGAAACACACACATTAAAATATCTGTTGCTCAAAAATGAAAAATAAAAATTTACCTAAATTTCTGGGATGAGGAATTATTATTACATTTTTCACTATTCTTCTTTGTTAGTTTTTATATTTTTCATTATTTACACTATTTTTATGCAAACTATTGTCCTCATCTTTGTTGTTGCTATCACAATGTTTAGCTGTTGTGCCCTCCAATAACAACTCTAGACATGTGCAGTGGAACAAGAACAGTCTACCCCAATAGATTAATTAAAGGGTTCAGTTCAGAATTCCCTGTAGGTTACCCGAATTGTTATACACTTCCTGAAGACAGGAGAGCCCAATGGTCTAAATGTTGTGATAACAACAACTAAGATGAGGACAATATTCCACTTATAAATAGTGCAAATAATGAAAAAAAAAAAAAAAATATCCTATTTTTGTCACCCGTATGTTTGTGTACACTTTACCAGACATCCCTTTTAGCATTTTAACACTTTGACTGCTGTGGACATAGCATGTCTTGTTTCTTTGCTGTCTACATAGCAACTGTGTGGATAGACATGTTTTGCCTCGATGCATGCCAAATAACAACTGGGATTCGTTACTCTACAAACCAACATCCCATAACCCTTGTAAATTCATCTTACTCGAAGGGAGATAATTACCCTTTGCATCCCTACAAGTAGTACCATGTCTTAATGTTATCATGCATAAAAAATGAGAACATGAGATTGAATCTCTTGTATGTAACATTACTGTTTATTTCACTCTGGACTTTTTCAATCACCATGTGGACTTTAGATCTCTGAATGAGAACTCTACATATGAATTGATAAGACCTTGAGCAAAAGAAGTCAACATATAGGAACTCCAATATAAACTTGGTTTCCAAAGGTGAAAATAGTGGAGTTTGCTCTCTCATACCTCAGAGGTGAGTGTTTATATATTTACCTGTGATATGTTTTTTTCATGTATGCACATTCTACATGTACCTGGGTTGGTTATAGGGTTACATGTCTGGGTGAAGGCATTAACATGGAAGAAGGAAAGTGTGGATTTGCACTTGGTGGCTAAGTGGCCACCTCTCAGGTTAATTTTCTGATGCATCTGGTTTCTTTTTCTGGTGTGAAAGTCTAAAGTGCAAAATCATGTGGGGGGGTGTCACCCACTACACATGCATCAAAGTCACCAACTGATTTTCTTGCCCAGAAAAAAAAAAAAGAGTGGGGATTCTTTTTTACTGTGTTATTCAAACAACTTGATAACTTTTCTCTATATTCACATATTATTTGTGCTGGCACTTTTTTTTTTTTCAAATGTTCCTTCAACTGACCAGATCAAAATCTTGTTTTTGAACATTTCTAAACCATTACTGACACATACTTACATCTACTGCATCTTAAAATTTTAAAATTCATTAACTTAAATCTGCTGTACTTGGTCTCAAATTAAAGATGCAGAAAGTAAATACAGTTCAATGTACAGTTTATATCCAATCATAATTTTCTCAAAAATATAATCATTTTTTTCACATTGTTTAAGTAATAAAGAATTTATTAAACTTCAAAAAGCACTTCTAAGATTTTCTTCAAACTGTAAAAACAGCTTGGTGAACGTTTGCATCAAAATAAACTAATAAATAGACCATAAGAAATGCAATTTTTTATTTCTGGGATGAGAAAATATCATGATTTACATTCCGTTCTTGTCCTCATCTTTGTTATTATTGTATTTTAACTGTTGTGCCATTTGGTCTTCAGGCATCTGTCAATCCAGCTAATCTTCATAGGATTTCAAACTGAACCCTTTATTTAATCTACAGAAGTATATTTTATTCATTCCCCTGGTCAATGTCTAGGGATAATGTCATTTTGTTCTTATTTACTACTGCTTAGTTATTTTTATTTCTATCAAGTTTATATCCATACTGCTTGACTTTACTAAGGCTTCAACTTCTAGGTTCAAAAATGTCTCACAGGACAACAACAGAGTAGATTAAAATGTTGCTTCATGAATATGATGACAATAATCTTAATTCAACATTGCATATAATTAGTAATATATGTACATATTACGCTGACTTTATTATTTAAGTTCAGACTAGTGTCCTCATCTTTGTTGTTATCATAACATTTTAACTGCTATGCCTTCCAGCTTTATCCAAGTGTCTGTCAGTCTGGATAACATTCTGGAAATTTTTAACTGAATTCTTTATTTAATCTATGGTGTTAGATTGTTCTCATTCTGTTGTCTTTGTCTAGTGATATCTTGACACCTGAAGTTTGGAGAGCATAATAGACAAAATAATGTGATAATAACAACAAAGATGGGGACATTAGTTTGTTTATGAATAATGTAAGCAATTTTTGGCAAACTTTAGCCTTCATACTGGCACCCCCCACCCCGCCCCCCAAAAAAGGCATATCAAAATACACCAGTATTATTTTGTACTACTTTCATTCCCTCTGCAATATTTATATACAAGATTATAAAAATATGTGAACCAAGTACAATGCAGTATTTATTATTTACTATTTTATAAAGATTTATTATTAACCATTTTATAAAAGAGAATAAATGTGTAAAGAAATCTTTTTATTCAAAAATTTAAAAATATTACAGTATTATCCAAATGTGTAAACCATCTATAATGCAATATTTATTATTTATTTCATATTTATTTTATAAATATATATGAAAACAATTTTTTATTCATAATTTTATAAAAATATCAATGAATTATAAATTAACTAAATGATAACCATTACATTGTATTAGTTGGTTCACATTTTTAAAATATTGTAAATATAAAATTATTCTTTTAAATAAACAATCTAATAAATAGTGTAATAATATATTTTTCTTGTAAAATCTCAAAGAACAAATAAAATGTATAAATTCACTTTCATATGTTTGGGTTTTATTAAAATTCTAATCATCAGTTTTTTGCTAATGATAAATACTGCCAAGGAGTGAAGGTAGTTAAAATAATATTGGTGTCAAGGGAACAACTATTCTTTTGACACACTGTTTTATTGTGTGCACAAAGTTTAAAGATTGCCCAAGTTTTAATCTTTCATTAAAAATAGTATTTATTTTTAGAATACCTTGTATTTTGCAATTGCACCAGTTTGTAGATCAGATTCGATATTGCCTGGGTCGAGATAAGCAATACTCATTAGGAAACCAGGCCCCGTGAAAGACAATAATTTTCGGCAACTGAAGCATCCTGGCTGAAAAAACAAAATGCAAGTGATATGATGAAGGTATTTTAGTTACTTTCATAAAGGTCAGCATCAGCCATACTGATGGAAATCAGAAAAGGTTTTCTCAGATGAAAATAAGATGCCCTTCCACAAATCATTAACAAGTAACATAAAACTGACACTTTTCATCATCTTCCTGGGGGTGGGGATATATTTGTACAAAAGTCTGTGACAAATTAATATACCACTCCCAACAAATCTCTTTGCCTGATGTAATTTTAAATGACATTATTTATCATGAAAAGACAAGTTGTAATATTGTGAAGGCTTTCATTTTTATGTGGCCTTGTTTAAACTTCCACAAAATTATGAAAAGTGAAGAATGAACAAGATTTTATAAAATATGAACATTTTTTTTTTTGTTGTGCAGAACATGATAAAGTTTTCATGTAATTTCTATCTAAATTTCTGGGATGAGAAGTAATCATTATTTATATTATTTACATGTGAACTATTGTTGTGATCTTTATTGTTATCACAGTGTTTCAACTGTTAAGCCCTTCAGCCTTCATCAGGTGTATGTTGATCAGAATAACGTACAGGGAATTTTGAACTGGACCTATTATTTAATCTACATTGATTAAGGTGGATTGTTCTTGATCCACTGCCCATGTCTAGGGATAACCTGCCTAGTGCTTATCTTCTGTTTCTTAAAAATTGCTGCATCTAAAGAAATTAAATCAAAATGAAAACAAAAAAATGTGATACTAACTCAAGTTCTATCAATATTTATCACAATATTAATAAATTCCATTTTCAGGTGCTTTTTTACTGCCCAGCATTTGTTTGAATTAATTCAGTTTCCTCTCCTCTTTCATTTTGAATTCTTACTAAAGGATCATATATCTCCAATATTTTTTGGATTATTAACTTTATCTTTGTTGTTATAAACATATTTTGGCCAATACATGCTTTGAACTTACTCAGGTGCATGTTGTACCTGGCATTTAGAATTTGTTAATATCTTTTGATTTGCTTATATTTTTTTCATTTTTTCTTATTCCAATTGAGCAGGATCTGCATTGAAATGAAGAGCTAAAAAGTAGTAAGAAAAGAAACCTAAATTATGTTTGTGTGGAAGATACAAAAGGCAATTACTTGCTTTTGGTGGAGAACATGTGGCGAACTCTTGGTGACATCACTGCATACAGTGACAAAAGCGGTAGTCAAATTCAGTTCATTTTACAGCAGCCAAAACTAGAGGTTACTTTCTTTTAGCCTAACCCAAGGGGCCCAGGCTGAAGCTAAACCTGCCTCCCCCAGCAGCTTACAAGCACATGATGCCTGTTCTCTTTAGAAATATATCTTTTCCACATATAGAAAGAAACTCCAACTTGCAGTCCTCACTTATGGAAAACCAAACACTGGTTGTTTCCTTCAGTATCTGTCTATATTTCTGAGATGAGGTATTATTTATATTATTCGGACTATTGTTCATCTTTGTTGCCATATTTTATCACAACATTGTATGCTTTGGCCTTCTTCAAGTGGTTGGAATGTTGAACTGAACCATTTATTTTGCTCACTGGAGTAGACTGTTCTAGTACCATGTCTAATGGATGTCAGTTATCAGTTATTTCCTGTTAATTTCTCTCTCCAAGTTCTCCACTGCCTTAACCAGGTATTGAACTCACACTCTTTGGGTCCTATCACTGGATCTAACTAACGCCTTTATCCACTGTGCCATGCGTCCTTGTATGAATTTCTGGGTATTATAAACCCAATATCTTCAGCAAATATTTTTTTACCAGTGCAATTCTTGTTGTTATTATCGCTATTCTCTGGCACTCCTTATTGCTGGTTCCCATATTGTATTCATTTTTATGCTTGGTTGGCTCAGGAGATTTTTGTGGCCTAGCATATGTGCTGATTCCTTAAGTTTACAAATTTTCCAATGATGTTCTTTGTCTATCATTTCAACCTGATCCCACAGAGGGTGGTGATTTCCCTTTTCTCTCCATATGTGGTCAGCCACGCCTGATTTTTCCACTTCCCCTCATGTTACAGCTTTCTGGCATTCTTGAAGCCTTACCTTAAGGGAGCGAACTGTCTCCACTTTGTATTTCTTTTCACAGCTGCACAGGATGGCATACACATCAGTGTACATGTACCTGTGTACACACGTTTATAGGCGTATAATTACAGACACATGCATTTAAATTCCAATAGTAATTAAATTTAATTATAAATCTTACCTCCTACAATTATGGTACCATCAAACCAAGTTAAAAAAAAATGATATAATAGCACAGTGAAGATATATAAACTTCTGTGTATATTTATGTATGTATTTACCATTTAAGCATTAATTTCATTATATATAGTTATATTATTTATATATATATATATATATATATATATATATATATATATATATAAAATATTTATCATTAATATCAATTGTTTATTTGCTTCTTCAGGTGATTGGAGTTTCAAACTAAACCCTTTATTCCGCCCACCGGAGTAGATTGTCCGAAATGTCGAAAATATGGCAATAAAGATGAGGACAACAGTCTGAATAATGTGAATAATTACAATACCACATCTCAGAAATACAGACAGAAAAAGAAATTGGTAGCATAAGGATTACGGTTACATCTAACCAGTCTAGTACCATGCTTAAATTCATAGTCTCAGTAACATAGTGAAGAGCTCATCCAAACAATTACCAAGAAAGTATTTATAAAAAAGGCAAAGGGAGACAACATTACAGTGGTGGGAAAGTGACTGAAGCCGAGATGTCAGGTCAGGACCAGTAATATTGCTGATTATTCTTTGGATTTTATCAAGAATCTCTAAATAAATAGCAGAAGCACCAGACCATATGTAGCATTGATATTCTAAGCATGGGCAAATGGTAGACATTAGACTTATAAATATGTAAGAGAGATTCTGGAGAAAAATTGTCTAGCATGTCACAGTGAACCAACTTTCTTAGCAGCCAACCTAGCAATAGATTCAATATAGTCCTTCTATTTTATGTCAGCAGAAAATGTTAGACAGAGAAGGTGCAATGCGTCGCTCTCCTGGAAGTTAGCATCAGCCATGCTGATGGAAAGATGAAAGGGTTCTCTCAGATGATAAATAGAGAGCAGTTTTGTTTTGGAAGCTTTGAAGTTAACAAGCTATTCTTTGCCCCAGTTAACAATAGACTGGAGTCTATTTTTGACTTCAGCCACCAATTTGACCTTATTGAACTGATTAGATTTATTATCAAGACAGGAATAAATGGTTGTGTCATCAGCATAGATACTGAATTGAGAGCTAATGCCATCAGAAAGGTTATTAATGAAAATTAAAAACAAAGTAGGACCAAGGATAGAGCCCTGGGGGGACATCCACATTAGTACAGAAGGATCAAGAAGAGTGGCCATTCAGGATAACTTTCATTTCATGATTTAATAAGAAAGACTGAATTTGTTCAAAATTTATCCAGTGACAACACAACTTTTCAACTTGTGAAGAAGACCTGTGTGCAAAACCCTGTCAAATGCTTTTGAAATGTCCAAAGCAACAGCCCGAGCTTCACCATTTCTTATCTAAAGATTGATAGACTATTTCTGAAAAGATCATTAGTACATGAGCAGCTGACCTAGAGAAACAAAAACCATATTACTTGTCTGAAAGAAGGTCCTACAATGTGATGATTAACTAATTCAATACTAATTATGGCTTCTAGTAGTTTACAAATACAATAAACAAAAAAATGTATATATATTAACTGAAATCACCTTCTTAGTTACTTTAAATGTAATATAAATTCTAATTTATTAAATATTTTATATATATTTATTCAATAAATAAATATATTTATAATAATTAAAAATACATATACAATAATATTATATAATATAACAGTAATAATAAGGCTATAAGTTATAATTATATAATAATAAACATAATAATAATAAATATATTTATTTTTATAAGTTCTAATGTAATATAAATGTAATATGAATTCTAGTTAAAAATGAAATAAATTAAAACATTAATTTGTTATATTATAGTGCCAACTTCATTTGAAACTATTATAAATAGGCAAGACTCAAGCTTTTCTTATCACTGTCCACTGACTTTATCCCTACTCCATCATTCTCCTGTTATACATTAGACATTTTTTGAATTTATAAAGTAAATATTTTTGGCAGTAGTAAAAAAAAAAAAAAAAAAAAAAGTAGGGTTGTATTTTGCAGGCATATTAATTTGAAGAAGTTTTCACAGTTAATCTATATATTTTGTATATTGAAAAACAGGACAGCAGAGATTGTTATTGGTCAGGAATTTATGTAAGGCTTACATAGAATAAGGGCCATTGTATGTATGATGTAAATGTATAATGATTTTACCATAGAAATGCATTGAAAAACTAGGGAAGGGTTGTCAGTAGTTGATTAAAGCAAGACTAATAGAATACAACTATTATGACTGGTGGTTTATTTCATGTGCTATGAAAATTCCTCTTAATTTTTGTTAAGATCAAATTACAGAATATATATCCGTTGTTGCCAATTATTTATTTTGAATTTTCTTTACTAAAAAATATGTAAAGTAAAAGAATCATCATGTATGTTGTTATTTTTAGTTGGAACCCATTGAATTTCCCAGAGACACACCCAAATCACCACTTGTAGGTTTCACTATATTAAACACATATCAGTATCACTGCTGCCATGGTTTTCATAGGAAGTAGGTTTTTATGGGATAGAGTTGTTTGTTAGCCCCATGCCCAACTGGTTTTGAATTCACAATTGTCTTTCTCCTAGACTGGTTACCAAACAAAGCTAGAGAGCCCAGTCTGCTCTGCTATTCATCTGTAGTTGGGGGAAGAAGAGATGGATTCATACCTTTCCAATGGTATTTGTTCAAAAGCAAATAACAGCTTAGACTGGAATTTGAATGTAGTATAACAATCCTATTTTCTGATGTAATAGACTCTGCACCACATACACATAGAGCATAGAAACACA